TCGTTCTCCTTCTCTTCCTCTTCCCCATTCCCCTCCTCCTCCTCCTCTTCCCTCTTTCCTCTCCTTCTTCCTCTTCTTCTCCTTCTCCTCCTCTCTTCCTCTTCCTTTTTTCTCTCCTCTTTCCTCGTTCTCCTCCTCTTCCTCCTTCTTCTTTTCCTCTTCCTCGTTCTTCTCCTCTTTCTCATTGCCCTCCTCCTCTTCTTCTTCCTTTCCGCCTCTTCTTCTTCCTCATTCCCCTCCTCCTCCCCCTCTTTCCTCTTCCCCCTCCTCCTCGTCTACCATCTCTTACTCCTCCTCCTCTTCCTCCTCTTCCTCTTCCTCCTCCTTTTTATGGGGCAGAACATTACTCCTGATTAATCCATGTGCATAGAAATAGACGTGAATAACAATAACTCTTTATATTGATATCTTTGTATATGTAATATGTTTACTTTGTCTAAATATATGAAATACATTTGTTTTTATACTTGATATTAAGGTTAACATTCGCCTCTTCATAAAATATTGAAAAATTACGTTTCATTTATAAACAGTATATGAATGCGTTATTTAATACGTGCTTATTCTTTATTTCATTTATTTATTTATCTCTTATTATTTTATTTTATTTTATTTAGTTTAGTTCTTTCTTTCTTTTTTGCCCACGTACTAATCCTGAGTCTCCCCCCCCTCCCAGGGCTCCTCCCAGGGTCCCCCTCGAGGCGTCTCCTCCGTGTCGCAGTTCGTGCCTCTGTCCTCCGACTCGTCCTCCTCCTCCGCCACGCCCCGCAAGTCCTCCTCGGGTCCTTCGGGAGCCTCTTCTTCCCTCCCCTCGGCGTCCTCCCACCGCGTCCTGCCCTCCAGCGGCTCCTCGTCGGGGAAGACCAACAGCACGAGGGTCACGCCTCCTTCGGTGCCTTCGATTCTGAAGCCTTCGTCCCTCCCGTCTCTCCACGGCTCGAGGTCGCTGCCGCCCTCGTCCGCGGCCGTGGGCGTCCCCTACAAGCACAAGCACGCCCCTGCCGCCCACACGCCCGAACACGCGCCCGCGGCCTTCCCGCACCCGCAACACGGCGCCAAACTCACCATGCCGCCCCATCTCCACCAGGCCCACCACCAGATGCACCCACACCTCCACTCTCTTCCTCTCCCTCATCCTCACGCCCACCCTCACCCACACCCGCACCCCCACGCCCACCCACAGCATCCACCCGTCCACCCAAATCAGCTGCCTCAACATTTCCCCGCCCATGCCGCCCACCCTTCGCTCTACTACCCACACCTGTTGACGCCCATGATGCCCTACTACCCGACAGACCAGGTGAGTGGGATGGGCGCTCACAATTTGGCTGAGGATTTTTTTTTTCCAATATGATTGTCACGGGGTCATGATAGTAACAGGGAGGGTAATAATGATGATTATATTTGTAAAAATGATTATAATAATGTCATTAATAATCAAGACTTTCAAACAATGCAACTACTGATGTTATTACTACATTTACTACTACGATTACTACTACTATTACTATCATTACTATTACTACTACTACTACTACTACTACTACTACTACTACTACTACTACTTACTACAAAGCTCTCTGCAATAAAAGATAATTTGACAAACTGCAGCGCATACTATCCATCTTTCATAATTAACAGCACTCATATCCATTTCAACTGAACAGCTAAATAATGCCTATTTACGAGAACTCTTTTCATAAGAACTCAATTCTCATTCCAGGATCTGCAACAAACCCGCAAGCACAAGAAGAAGGAGAGCAGCAAGAAACGCAAGGATGGCAAGAATAAGCAGAAGGACGAGGAGAAGAAGAAGAAGAAGGAGAAGAAGAGAAAAAGCAGGGAACTCACAGACGAACAGATCGAGAGAACTTACACAGGATTGGACAGGGAACTTGCGGAGGAATTTATTGACTCGACAATGGAACCGGGACTCTCACTCCAAAGGGCCTTCAATACGAGTTTTGATCAAGATTCATTTTAAGAAAACAAAACGATAACGATTAGAGTAATTGGAATAATAAGTGTCCGTGTATTTTTTTTTTTTTTTTTCCTAAAAATATTGTACATGAAAATACTAACCTCTTTCTTTTATCATATATGTGTTATAAACAATTCCATGACGTGTTTCATCATGTTAATGAATGTTCGAATATCATTCATGTCTTTTTTCTATTATTTCATACTGTTTTTTGTATTATCTATTTTGAATGGGTTCCTTTAGCTTTTCTAGAATCAATAACTTACTGCTAACATGAATTGTAAATGAATTAGGATTTATAACCTCATGTATGTACATATATATATATATGTATATATCATTATACATATATATACTTTCATAAATGTAAAGGTTCACAACTGATTATAATGTTTGTATATAATGAAACTTTTAGTCAGTTCTCAGCAGGATGAAATGTAAGATAATTATTTCATCATCAAAGCCATTATACATTGTACATGTACAGCATGTACAACATAAGTTATTGTACATCTGATCCTTTGCACATTTTATTGTATTGCACATGTTAAAAAAGTCACTGGATTCTTGGTCACAAACCTTTTTCATAAAAAAAAGAAAGAAAAAATTAATATAAAAATCAGTTTTCAGTGCCATTGATATTATCTAGTAATGAAATTCATACCTACCAATTCAGTATTACATTCTCATAGTCCCATGTGTAAAAGCACATTTGCTGCCAGAAATAACTGCATTTATCAATAGTATTAAAAATGTTTGAAGAAAAATTCAAACTTTATTTCAGTCAAGCTTCATTTTGCATAAATTTTAACTTTTAGAATCGTACTAATTCCTTTTTTTTTTTATATTACCCACCTTAAATATGCCCAGTGTAAATATCTTAATATATTTTCTGCAATGTGTTTCATTGCTGCTCAAGTTCATATAACTATAAGTCTAAGTTTGTAAATAGTGCATGATGTGTATATATATAAAAATAATAAATCATATAATGTTTTCTGTCTTTCATTCTCTTTTATACCTAAAGCACAAAATATTATTAAACCTAGCAAAGTAAAACAAAACAATTAATGAGTAAGTAATATTCAAAACAATTGTAAATTACCATCCAATAAACCACAAAAAACATATAAAAAACATTGGTAAAATGCAAAACTTCTTTGACAAGTGCTCTCTATGCTTCATATGTAAAGAACATACATCTAATGATAATCTTCTGAATGAACATACATCTAATCATAATTTTCTAAAAAAATGAATTGTCATCATAATATTGTTACCTTTTACATGTTAATCAGAAGTAAAAGAAACAAATATGATTATGAACACTGTATACAACATGGAAAAGATATTGTGAACATATATAACTGACAACTTTAAAAACCTATATTAATTCATAAATTTTCACTAAAATGAAGTAATGAACTCAGGATGCCTCATGTCTTCTCAAAGAGGACTTTTCACATCTGTAAAAATATGTCCCATAATAAAATAATTAATCCAACATGATTATCCTTTGGGTTTCACTATCTCTCCATTTGTCAATTTCTTTTTACAAAATATTGTACATGAAAATACTAACCTCTTTCTTTTATCATATATGTGTTATAAACAATTCCATGACTTTTGTTTCATCATGTTAATGAATGTTCGAATATCATTCATGTCTTTTTTTCTATTATTTCATACTGTTTTTTGTATTATCTATTTTGAATGGGTTCTTTTAGCTTTTCTAGAATCAATAACTTACTGCTAACATGAATTGTAAATTAATTAGGATTTATAACCTCATATATGTACATATATATATATGTACATTTAACTTTTTTTCCTTCTTCATAAACCTTCCTTCCCTTTTATTAACTTTCCTGAATATATTCTGATCAAGCTACTGTATAACAATTAATGTGCTAGCATCAAAACTACAATTTCTAATAATCTGCACCTTGTCAACAAATCTTTATATACCACCTACAATACAATATACTATGAAAGTTTAGAATACCAAAAGAAAAATGTTGATATTGAGAAAATATGTTTATAACCTGAACTATCATTAACTTTCCCTTCTATTTTACTAATCTAAGCATGAGCTAATCATGTGAATATTATCAAACTCAAATTGTGAAGACCTATAAATCTGTGGGAAACCTATCTGAGAATTTTGATTACTTGGGAAAACTGGATAACAATGATATAAGACATATAGTATGCCAAGTCCATATGTGTTTTATCCCACCATGGACTAAACAGAAAATTTGTGATCTTACAAGAGCTACAGCAATGTTCCTGGCCATATCTAATCCAAGGTACATGAAAAAGTTATTTATATGATAGTTCATATCATTAGTATCTTCATATATGACTGCATGATAGCTGCCAGTCTCCATTCCCATGTATTCTCTATCCAAACCCTCTTTCTATTTTCACTGTATCATATCTCAGCATCACCCAATGATACTTTACAAAACAGCAGATGGTTTAATCCTTAAACGCTTAAAACTACAGAAGATGCAGAATAATACCTTAATAAAAAAATAAATATATACAATTCAAAAACTTCGCTTTTATTGTCTGCTAACAGTTCAGATCTTAGAGGAATAAAGTATTATGCACTATGATCATGGACATCTGACAAAAAGTATATTTCACAGAAGAAAAATCATAACACCAGTGAGAGGCTAATAAAAAATAAATAACTCATTGCCACTTTAATATTTTACACTAATCTTATATCATACACATGGCAGAGAACTTCTTACACTGCCCTGACATCTGTATAAGAATGACATCAGAATACTTTTTTACAAAAAAATATACATGTGCTATTAACACAAAGAATTCAGACAAGATGACAAAAGCAATAACAGTAATTTACAAAGGCCTCCATCATCTTCCATTATATTTACGAACCCAACCCCTAAACAAAACCACCTTCCCTCATTCCATGGTTAGCTCTCCTCCTCATGCTTGCCGAGCTTGAAGTCAATGGGCTTGTCGTACCCCATGATCCTGCCGAAGTGCTCGAGGTCAGAGAACATCTTGGGGTCAACGAAGAGTGGTTTGTTCTTGGCCAGGAAGGTGGTGAACATACCTGGAACTGGTGGCACGTGTATGTCCTGGACTTTGAAGTGGATCTGGGGATTGGAAATACAAATATAACACAAAAAACTGGATACATAAAACAATGGGTTTTGTTTCACACTTTGCAAAGCACAGAAAACTGAAGTATTCTTTAATGCTCAAAACAAACCACCAGAATTGCATGAAACACAATGTTGATTATTGAATATCAGCATTTCCAAACTGTACAAAGATCCCATTCATTCAGGTTATTCAGGACGCCAGTATAAATATACAACACATATATTTACAAACAAACACACAAATTTAGACTTTCAGAATGGAAAAGAGAAACAGATACAAGAGATATAGAAATAAAACCAAACAAAAACACTGTATAGCCATATGTAAAAATATGAAAATGAAAGCAAGATACATAGCTAGCAAAAAAGTAGAGCTGCACTAGCAGATAAGCACAATATTCCAAAGAATTTGTGGTTAAACTACACTTTGCTAAAAGTAGGATGATCAAATAAGATATTTAGAATCTAAAATAAACTTACCAAACTCTATTCCAAAAATGTAAAAGAGAAGTATTTTTTTCCCATAACCAAAACTTTAAGACCCTATTAGCAAATAAAAATTACAGCAGAACAATTTTAATTTCTACAGACTCAACATAAAAAAATCAACACTACTTCAGATCAGAAAAAAATTATATATAAGGATAAAAATAATAATAAACCCATCTTTTCCCCCCACAAACTGCAGAAAAAAAGTAAATAATTGCATTGGCACAGCTAACTGGCCACATAATATACAAATGAAACATCAAACATTTTACTGGAAAACAAAAAAAATAAATCTGGCATAAACAGACACTTCATGTCCTTGCACAAGCCACCTAATTGCAGCAAACCAACCTTTTTCTCCCGAAGGAAGAAGGAAAGAGTGGTGGCGGAGTAGAGGTCCTTCTCGTGGTCGTACTCCAGGCGGGTCACGTACTTCTTTGTGATCCAGTGGATAAGGAAGGGTGTCACAAAGGTGAAGAAGCCGATGAAGGAACCCATTGCCACCACAATGCCGAAGCTCGTCTCTGTAGCTTTCTGCAGGGAGTGGAAAGTTTGTACATGATGTCAAGAAGTCTCAATAAGCAAACTCAAAAAGGCAGAGTTAGTTCCATAGCCAAGTGGACATTTTTCAGTGGAGCATGTCCATTGAAAAATATGCCTACTTAGCCATGGGTCAATGTAACAGGCAGTTCCTTTCCAGCCCTTTCCAGACTAACTGATACCAGTACTCACTCCCAACTGAGTCACCTGGTAGGGGCTGGCCATGAGCAAACCCAAGACCTTGCTATGACAAACCCTTCACTTTAACCCTGAGGTATCCAACCACAGCAAAGCCAGCACTCAACCACTGACTTATGCCGTCTCAAAATAAGTATGCTAGGAAAGTAAACGCAGGCACGACCTCCTATCTTGTAACAAGAGCAAAGATGTGTATCTAACAGGACAAAAAGAATATTTTGTATACATGCTATATCAAAAACATTTGAAATTTAAAGAACTGGCACATTGGACTGTTGATGGTAAGTGCCCATGTTAATCATATATAAACATAGAAAAAAAAAAATCATCTAGCTCTCAATTTAGTCTGCCACCTTATCTACATGATTTTGTTTAAACAAAATATATTACAGAAAAGAATTATGGTGCATCAGCATATTCAAATAAGGATAATAACCAAAACATCAGAGGTTTTCTTTCTTAGGACAAAAAGTATGTGCCTAAGTATAGAATTGATTTGTTGCTGCTTCCTAAAGGCATGACAACACAAAGTATAAAAGTAACCAAAAAAATCAAAATCATCACATAAACTATGATAATCCACCAGTCTAAAATATGCAACACCACAAGCCATCTCACCTGTACAAGCATAGGCTGCATCATGAGGCCTAACATAGTTGTTGAGAGAGAAAAGGTCTTAACCATGCGAATCTGGGTTGACAAAATACCTCGGTAGATCTCTTGCCAAGTTCCTGGACCAATGTCAACCCTGGGGAGAGTAGAGAGTGTTATTTTCGTGCATTACATTGTCTCATAAAGTACTTATTCTAAATAGACTTATTCTAAATAGTGCAAATGTGTTGATTTTCTCCTCATTATGCCACAATGACCGACATTAAAGAGCACTGTCCTTAGTTATAGTCTTTATGAAATGTATAAATATGATAACTTACTCAGTGTTGTCTTTTCCTTTTGCATCTGAAGGCTTCTGTACTTCATTACTATAATTTCTTGCAAGTAGAACAAGCTGAGGCTTACTACACTTATTCTGCTGAATCTGAAAGCACAATATACTAGGTAAGTATACAGAAATATGAATCATTAGCTGAGATTACACAATATATCATATAATATCCATACAAACTTATACTGATATAAACAAAATGTATAAAAAATATATATATAAATCATAAAAAATATCATAATCAATGTCAAATGCAACATAACTATAGTACATCCCATAGCTTCAAGAGTGAAAAAAGTTACTTTTAGAATAACTCAGTAAAGACTGGTTGGCCTAACTTCATGCTTGACTTCATTTAAACACCATACCAAGACACAAGTTAAGTACTATTCTCATTACATTACATAAACATCTGGATGTGTTAGAGCCCCTTTTCAACGTGTACCTTGCAGCACAGTCTGTAGAAAGGTTTTCACGTGAAAAACTGAATATCCCAGACACCTTACCGAGAGTATTCTTCCCGGATTCACGCTGCTTGATGATAACACTCTTGGCAGTCTCAAGAGGATGTTGTAGCTGTCTCTCTGCTGCCGTTGGAGAGTGCGCAGGACTCCATATACTCCAGCCATCTTGTCAGATCTATAAAAAAAGAACAGATATTAAAAAATATAGAATTTTAAAAATAATAATAATAAAATAAAAAGGAAATTTCATGTCACATTCTGTATATCCCATGATACATACAGAATATATAAACACAGGAAATATAGATTCTATATGGTTTACTTATGAAAGGAACTTCCTCATCTATAATTCCATAACACTTCTAACAGAGGATAATATAATGATTATGTGAAAGGGTTGATTTGATACATTCTCCTTCGGCTTCATGCAAGAAATTTGGCATCAAGAAGACATAACTGCCTGGGATGATAAGTCTCACAACAACCATGGCCTCTGCAATTTCAGCACTCCAGCAAAAGCCAACAAACCTCCACCACATATTTTCAGCAAGGTGGAGCTTTGACTCATTCCTTATTTGGAGACAAGTCACCTACATCTATCATATCACCAGAGTATAGAGTATTTTTCTCGCACTGGGAATTTACATTTTTTCAAGTGCGGAAATCATAATTTTGTCTACATTTGCGTGGATGGATCTGTGGACGGATGATGAAACAAGCGTGCGGTAAAGGTCAAAAGAATTTTATGCATGGAAGATGATTTTAAAAAGAAATAAGCATGTGCGGAAAATTACCCGAGAACTACATTTGCATGGACAGAATTTGACCAAACTACAGATTGGTCATTTCATAAGCTGAAGGCTCGATCTGCTTCCGCTGCAGAGCCAGAGTGGATGCAGCCAAGGCAAGTACTCGCATACCAGCAAATGCATCTTTGATAATTGAATGTGGGCTTCTCTTCACTTTCTGCTGCTATTTCTAGAGTCAATAGTGTTGCTCTATATGTTAATTAAGGATACTGTCGCTCAAGTTCCACCCAGACCTTGTATCAAGATTTCCATAGCACAGAAACCATGTGTTATAACCGATATCTAAAATACAGCAACATCTTAAACAGTTACGCATACTTACTCATCCAAATAACGTTGTATTACACTGCAGTGATAATTTAGACTTGTAATATCCTAATACAATATAGAGAAGCCTTTATTAGATCTCCCTATGTCACAAAATAAGATTCACGATGATATGACCAATGTAAAAGTCAAAGAGAAGTGAAGACCTTGTGCAAAAAGTTCACATACAGAATTAGGCTGGATTTCAATAGGTTTAAATTAGGACGAGACTTTGTTAGGCCAGGTTTCAATAGGTTTGGTTAGGCTAGGTTTGATTTGGCTAAGCTATCCTTTTTTTGGTTATATTAAGGTCAATAATAGATATAATTTGGTTGATGTGGGCCAAATCTCGTTATATTTGGTTGAAGAAACGGAAAACCGGCCTTGTATATAGCACAGCAGACCCAACTTACATTCTCTTAAATACTTCTATTTCACCTTCAACCAACCTCAATATCACTAAATCAGCTCTTTAAAACAATTCCTCAATCTACAACATCCTCAAACAACACAAAAATACCTTAAATTCATCTTAAAAAATGAAAAAATAGAATAAATTACAGACGAACCGTATCTTTGTTTACCTTTTTCGGCTTCCACGCGAGGCAGACGATGTTCTTCTGCACAATTTAGTGAATAGGTTTTAGTGAACAAGTTTTAGTGAATAAATTTTAAAGAATTACTTTTAGTGAATAGATTTTAGTGAACAGGATTAGGAGAACGAATCGATTATTCCTTTTATTATCATTTATGTTTTATTATTGTTATTGGTATTAAAGTATGACTGGCTTTTTGTTGTTATTGCTCTTATACTTTGTTAGCATTAATGTTGGTGATGGAATTAGTATTAGCATCAATATTACTATTAGTGTTATTACAATAACATTATCATTATTATTACTTTTGTTGTTGTTGTAGTTGTTGTTGTTGTTATTGTTATTATTATTGTTATTTTTATTATCATTATTATTATCATTATTATTATTTTATTACTTTTTATTAGTATAATTATTATTATCATTATTATTGTTACTATTATTATTATTATCATTACTATTATCATTATTATCATTATTGATGTTATTATTATTATTATCTTATCATTACTATTATTATTATCATTATTGTTATCATTATCATTATTATTATTATCATTATCATTATTATTATTATTATCATTATTGTTATTATTATTATTATTATTATTATTTTGATTATAATTACTATTATCATTATCATTACTTTCATAATCATTATCACTGTTAATATCATTATTCTCATTGTCATCATGACTGTTATCATTACTATTATCATCAGTATCAGTATCGTTATCATGATTATTACTATCATTATTATCATTATTATCATCATCATTATCATTAACGTTATTGATATTATTATTGTCATCATCATTATCATCATTATCATTGTTACTATTATCATTATAATTTCTATTATCATTATCTTTATCATTATCATTATTCATTGTCTTCATTATTGTTCTTGGCATTATTATCTTTATTATTATCATTATTATTATTATCATTATTATCATTAGTAGTAGTAGTAGTAGTAGTAGTAGTAGTAGTGTTATTATCATCCTCAATATTATCATTACTATTGCTCTAATTATTATTATCATTGTTATCATTATTACTATTATATTTTTTATTATTACCAGCATCATCATTACTATTATCATTAAAATTATAATCATCATTATAACTATCTGTATCATGGCCATCACTAACATTATTGTTACCATATTCATTATGATCATCATCATTATTATTCACATTATCTTCATCAATTTTAATTTTCAAAAATTCTCTTAGTATAAAATACGGGTGACGCTTATATACTCGCATTATCCATATTCATAATAACAGAGCTTGTAGTGGCTTCTTTTTGTTAATTTTTTTTTAAAATAATCTAATTTGGGTTTGTATGGGATATAACTTAATTTGTATGTTTGGATATTATAATTTAATATAATGCAGAAAAAGGAACAGAGATGATTAACAATTAATATTCAATGCCAATACAGACACCATTACGTGACCCTGATGTAGCATCCCATTGTATTTGTTGACATCTGTGTTGAAAAACGTCCACGGAAAACGTTTACCAAATAAATATTTAAAGGATATTCAGGCTAAAATACAGGTATGATTTTAATAGGAATGATTAACATGTGTTTGGAAATTAAATGTGAATAAGGAAAGAGAAGGTAAAAGAAGGGAGTGAGCAAGGTATGAAGAATTAAATTTCGGCCTTGGAGAATCTGGGTGATGTAATTTTTATTCATTTTAATGCTATACACAATAAATACAGAAAAACACATTCTATTAATTTTTCGTTTATGTTACATTCCAGAACTCCCACGTTCCAATGAGGCTTATATTATGTTACCTTTTTTATTAGAGTATGCATAAAGGTAGGAATTTATAGAAAAAAACTAAAGTCTCTTGGAGACTAAGTCCTCGCTCGAATAAAGTACATCTGTGGGATGTTTTAGTAAATATATAAGATGTGATGATCAAATTCCTATCCTTATTAGAAAAATATATCCATTGGATACGAGTTCCTGAAACCAAAAACTAAAATTGTACCAAGATGTACAAAGTTTTGTAGAGTACCTCATTTCGTGATTATAGGAAGTAGGAGTATAATAAGAACAAAATAGTGCATTGTAGATAAAATCAGGTGGTGATTCTTTACAATGCAGACACATTGGCCAAGTCCCCAAACCCACATCACAAAATTGATTCAAGAATCTAAGCTGCTGTGACTGAGCGTGCCCTTCAGCACTGCCGAAGGGGAGGACTAATAGGGGACTTTGCCCTTGAACATCCCAGGAAAATTGTCTTCACCACGTTATGCACGGCAAGATAGAGCTGAAACTCATGAACAACAAGAGTGGGTGGTACTCTTTTTCCCTTATGTGTGGCATTATCGCTCATGTCTGCAGATTATTTCTTGCACAGACGACTGAAACAAGAATCATTTAATGTACCATACCTTAGTGTATTCATACTGTAAAGATTAACCAGCCAGATTTCAATAACCCATCTTTTTCTAAAGTAAACATGAATGCTTCTTTGTTATTCCTAGGGTTTTTAAGAGGCACAAAGAGTGGGAGTAAATTTTATTTTTTTTTTTTAAGAGGCGAAACAGGACAAAGCCTTGCACACAAAGAGTGGGAGTAAATTGTCTTTTTTTTTTTTTTTTCTTTCTTCTTTTTTTTTTCTTTCTTTTTTTCTTTACCAGATGACAGCACTGCTACAGTTACTATTCCACATTCTGCTGAATATCTTTGAATTATATGTTTACTAGATTTTCTATCATTTGTTCATAGATATGTAGAGTTCTTGGGTTTCATGAAAAAGATCTGTCACTGAGGCTGGCAAACAAAAGAGCTTTGGAAAAGTATTTGTGAAATTGGGTACATTACTAGTTATGCATGTGCAAAACTAGTAAAAATGAATCATAACCGTTAATTTTTACAGAATGGATGCACAAAGTTAGAGCAAATTGAAGATATTCTATTAGAGGACAAAAAGTAGCAGTTTGTGCAAGAAATGATTTGTAGATACAAACAGTAATGCCACAAATAAAGGAAGAAGATTGCAGAAAGCACCGCTCACAGCCTAAGTCTACTTGGTGCTCTGTCTTGCCGTGCATACCAAAGTGAAGACAGTGTTTCCCATCAACCTTCCCCATGGGCAGTACCCAATGGATATGCCCCCAATCATGGCAATTTAGATTGTTTAATATAGGTTGTGACATGGAGTTAGGGACTTTGTCTCTGGCGAGTGCATCTGTATTGTAAACATTTACCATTATGACTGTACAGTCTTACAGTAAATGGTGTGACATATATTTCTTTCTTGGTCAAGCTTTACAGTCTTGCAGGTAAATGTGTTAGATAATTTTATTCCATGAACTGTGGAATAAACATGGATTTCTAGTCTTGTGATTTAACAATGTACTGATGAATAATAAGTACTGGTAAGATATTTATCAGTTTGTACATAAGTGGAGGATTCCATTTTTGTTTATATATTAGCCTATAGTTTGACTGTCAAGAAGCCCTGCATATAGAAAGAAAGCAAATTATGGTAAACATTACGACCAGACACACAATGGTTCTGAAAATCAGACTTTCTGATGTAATCATATTGGGTGTGTTCTGTCCAAATCAACTTGAAAATTACTGTGATCAGTTGTAGATAGCAAAACATTTTTTTGGTGTTCTATCAAAGGACAACAAACCTGTAATGGTTTTATTCTGGTAGGTTAGAGCTTGGACGGCTTTGTCAGAGAGAGAAGAGGAGAGGAGAGGGGAGGAGAGAGTGTAAACCCAAGGAAAACAGTGTACAGAAAGAAAGAAAGAGAAAATCTTCTTTCTTTGCTTACACTTCAATTAAAAACCTCATTTACATTGCAGACATGTCAGACAACGAGACAGAGAAGTTCGAGGTGACAGACTATGACTTGGAGAATGAGTTCAACACACACCGCCCTGGGAGAAGGATAACAAAAGAACAGCAGATCTATGGTATATGGGCCAGTACTAGTGATGGCGAAGAGGTAAGGGATCAGGGGAGAATCTGTAATTGTTAATAATAGATAAATACATAAACAAATTAATGAATTAATTAGGAAAGAAAAATAGGAAATGATGAATAATTAAATCAATATATATATATATATATATATATATATATATATATATATATATATTATATATATATATATATATATATATATATATATATGTATATATATATATATAATATATATATATATATATATATATATATATATATATATATATATATATATATATATATATATATATATATATATATATATATATATATATATATATATATTATTATGTACTGTACTGGTATTATGAACAGTTTTTTAAAAATTTCAGTTACTTAAGGAAAGAAAAAGAAAAAGAAAAAAAAAATTATTGGCAAATGGTAAGGGGCTCATTGGCTAGCTGCAGAAAAAAATATAATAAAACAACATAACGTAGCCCGACCCAACATGACCCACAGTTGAGCTCAGCAATGAACCTTGATCATCCCTATTAAACTTTACTTCCAGGGCGACGACAAGGATGCCCCGCCCCCAGCTGCAGTGCCTCGGGCCCGTGTGCTTCGGGGCGGCCTCAACTTTGTGCCCGGGGGTATCCAACAGGCGGGAAAGAAAAATGAAAAGGATAAGGACAAGAAGGAGGAGGAGGAAGATGAGGAGTCCGAGTCCGAATGATGCCCAGCCCATGTTTGGGGCCAGCGCAGACTCTAGGTTGGTGGATTTTTTTTTTTTTTTTTTTTTTTTTTTCTTTCTTTCTTTGTTACTTTTTTTCTTTTCTTTTTCTTTTTCTTCTTTCTTTGTTACTTTTTTCTTTTCTTTTTCTTTTTTCTTTTCTTTCTTATTCTTTTTTCTTTTTTTCTTTTCTTTTTTTTCTTTGTTACTTTTTTCCTTTTCTTTTTCCTTTTTCTTCCTTTCTTTCTCTTCTTTCTGTTATTAGGCTGTTGTTGTTTTTCTTTCTTTCTTTCTTTCTTTCATTCTGTTCTTTTTCTTTTCTCATTCTCATTTTTTTTTTTTCTTTTTTCTCATTCATGTTTTTTTCTCTTATTTTCTTTCTTTCTTTCTTTCACTTGTCTTTTTTTCTTCTTTTTATACCTGTACACAGATTTTTTTTTTTTTCTTTTTTTTCTTGTCTCAATTGTTTTGCTTATTCATTTTCTTCACCTTTACTTTTACTTATGTTTTTATTTTATCCTAATGTATTTGATGTCTTCTGCATGATTATAATGATAATAGTGATAACAATAATGATAATGATAACATCATCATCATCATCAATAATATTTCATCATTATTTTTTTTTATTATTATTTCTGGTACTATTATTTTTAATATTAATATCATTGTTGTTATATTTATTTTTGTTATTATTTTTATTATTATTATTGTTATTGTTTTTGACCTGACTATTATTATTTTATTTTGTTGTTTTGTCTTCCATTTTAGTGTTGATTATTATGAAGGATTTGAATACCATGCACAAGTACTGAAGTTTTCTCTTTGTTATATTTATTTTTGTTATTTTTATTATCATTGTTGTTGTTATTGTTTTTGACCTGACTATTAGTATTGTTTTTGTTGTTTTGTCTTCCATTTTAGTGTTGATTATTATGAATAATTTGGATACCATGCACAAGTACTGAAGTTTTCTCTTTGTCAAAGTGATGTTTGCTTCCTTTTCAGTGATGAGGAAACCCCCCTGAAGAAGGACCTCCCCACATCTTTTGGCAGCAAGAAACCATCGTCATACGCCTCCTTTAGCTCCTCATCCTCCAAGAGAAATGACATAGCTGGCATGCGTCGAGGAGGACCAGGGGGAGGGGGAAATGCAAGCCTCTTGGGTAGCGGTCTAGGCGACTGGGAAAAGTACACAACAGGCATCGGTAGCAAACTGCTCAAGAAGATGGGTTTCGAGGAAGGAAAAGGCTTGGGTAAGAATCTGCAGGGTATTGCCACCCCTGTGGAAGCCAACAAGCGCAAGGGCAAGGGAGCCATTGGTTTCTATGGGTCGGAGAGGAGTGAGAGGTCCCTCAAGGACTTCCCCGTACATGATTCAGATGAGGAGGAGAAGGAGAAGTTCAAGGAGCAGCTGCAGCAGTGGAAGAAGACCGGGAACAAGAAGAAGATCAAGTATGTGTACAAGAGTGCTGAGGAGGTGATCCAGGAGGGAAAGTCCAAGAAGCTGAAGCCCACGGATGACAGCCACATCACCAAGACCAAGGTTATTGATATGACAGGACCAGAGACCCGTGTGTTAAGCAGCTACCATGCCATTGCAGGCCAGAAGAGCATTGTAGACGAGTATGAAGAGGACAAGAAGAAAAGATACGAGCATTTTGACTTACCAGAATTGCTGCATAATCTTCAGATTCTGTTAGAGAAATGTGAGGATGACATTGTTAGGAATGCCAGAACACAGGAGAGAGAAAATGACAGAATTGTCCACCTAAACCATGAAAGGGAAAGGTACGAGACTCTACTAGAAAGAGAGAAGAAGGAACTGGAGAGCCTAGACCAAGCCCTCACTCTTGTTGAGCGACTGGAAACTCGTCACAAAGAACAAACCCTCAGCCTGAGCGAGGCAGCATCCATCTTCACTGAGCTGAAGCGGGACTATCCCAAGATATACAACACATACGAGATCCCCTACCTAGCACCCACATACATAACGCCCCTTCTGAAGGAGCTGCTCAGGACTTGGAATCCGCTGGCTCAGCCTGCAGCACACAAGGACATTTTTGCAACCTGGCAGAAGCTGGTGGACCTGGGAGGGGGCCAACAGCAACAACAGCCTGGAACAGACATGCCTATGGACCCTTACCACCATCTTGTATGGGAGACATGGGCTGCAGCTGTGCGCTCCACTGTGATGGGGCCCTGGGAGCCACGGGACTGTGGCCCACTCCTGGCTGTGCTAGAAGTTTGGAATGTGCCACTTGTACCCGTGTGGATTCAGGGACACTTACTTCAGCACGTTATCTTGCCACGCATCACCCGTGCAGTGCATAACTGGAATCCTAGGCAGGATACTGTTCCTATACACACATGGCTTCATCCCTGGCTGCCCTTGCTGGTGGATCACCTCCAGTCTGTGTACCCAGTTATCCGCCAGAAACTCTCAGCTGCCCTCGTTCACTGGCATCCATCAGACCGGTCAGCTAAAATGGTGCTGCAGCCATGGAAAAGAGTCTTCACTGACATTTCAATGACTAATTTGATTCAGTCTAATATCCAGCCCAAACTAGAAGCAGCATTGATGGAAATGACCATCACCCCCCACAGTCAAAATTTAGATCCGTGGCACTGGTTCCTTGATTGGGATGACCTTCTCACTGCCCAGATTTCCATTGACATTCTGGAGCGATGCTTCTTCCCTCGCTGGTACCAGGCTCTGGGCACATGGCTCTCAGCCAATCCTTCACATACTGATGTGCTTGCCTGGTATAAAGGCTGGAGAGACCTCATGCCCAAGAGTGTGGCTAACCACCTACAGGTCCGCCAAAAGTTCCAGCAAGCCCTGGAGGTTTGCAGTCGTGCTCTGAGCTACCAGCCAGGTGCAACAGATCAATTCAACCTCCTCTTGGCTGGCCTCGACAAACTGAGTGAGCCTCCTCCTCCCCCTCCTCCAGGTTCTCCTCCCATTCAGTGCTCCAAGGACTGGGCAGACATCATCAACAGCGCACGCAGAGAGACACTCAGCATGCGAGAGGTTGTGGAGAGAAGGTGCCAAGAGAGAGGCATTGTATTTGTACCACTGCCAGAGCGCAAGCATGAAGGCAGACCTGTGTACAGGTGTGGCAAACTTAATATATCATTCAACAAAAATGTCATATATGTTCATACAGAGAGAGGATGGATGCCCAAAAGCCTCACGACATTACTGGATGATGCCTAGTTATATTTATTGTAGGTAAGTCATTGGTACCTTACTTTATAGTATATATATTGTCCTAGATTGTAAGGTGAATTGTATCTTTTATCCATGTTAACATGTAATTAAATGTAAAAAAGATTTAGTTCCTTTTTGTGAATTTCCCTTAACAGTACAAATTTGATGGATGGATTCTTTTTTTTCAGTCTTGGGTGTCTGGTTGAAGATACCGTAGCATAGTTGCGACAGCATCTTGACACCAAACAAGACAAAAAAGTATAATTTTTACATAAAGTTTTATTGTTTTTATTGCTCTGCACTTGAAAAAAGCCTTACATATACCATATTATAAACAATCATTCAGATTATCATAATTAACCTCTTATTTACCAAGGTTCTCCCAAATCCCTGACACAACCCCCCACAACCTAAAATAAAAATTTCAGGAAGGTTTCAATTAAAAAAGAACTCAACACTTGGCAATCACAACTTATTGAAGGCCCCTGGCTAATAGTCTATTTTTTTGTTAACCCAGAAAGACTGGTAAAATTATTGGTTATGCTGATGATTTGGAGCAGATGCCTCACCAAAATGAGGATCTAACTTATATTCATCTGTCACATACTGATGAAGTGCGGCACACTAAAGCTGTCCTTGGGAGAGCAAGATAAGTCCCAACTTGTTGGATTTTTTTCAGTCACTTCGGAGAGATACTCAGGTTTTTGCAGACACATACTATTTTACGCCATCATTTAAAATGAACCTTAAAAACCTAAGATTTGTTGCTAGAAGCATACCATGTGGCTGTTGTACTTATTTTTTCACCAGAAAAGCCTGTCCTCATTTATAATTTACAATGAAATAGTCTTATATATATATCTTTAGAACATATCGAGGGATCAAAGAAACAAACTTAATCAAATTAAGTTATTGAAAAATTTTCATCTCAATTCATTTGGATTTTGTATATGGTCAATATAGTGTGTGCCAAGAGAGAGGCATTATATTTGTTTAAACATATAATATGGCTTATAGTAATAAATATTACTCAATTTTATGAATTTTCAGAGAAATCTTGTAAAGTGAATAAAGTTAGATAAAGATGCTCATAGGAATGCCGAGGAAAAAACAAAAATTATACATCAATACTGTAATTGCATGATATGTGCAAATGGCTTTACCAGGTGGGGTAAGAACACCTCTGTAATGAGAATGAAAACCAAAACAATTTTAGCAAAAACACACCATGGCACACAAAAAATAAGTACACACCAAATTATGTACTTCATGGTCCTTGTGCTCATCTGTTTGTCCTGTCTTTATTTCCATAAAAAGGGAGCCAATTTAATATGGTATCAACTGTCTTGAGAACCACATTGAAAGAGAGGAAGAGAGGGAGAGAGAGGAAGAGAGAGAGGGAGGGAGGGGGAGAGAGGGAGGGAGAGTGTGAGTGTGAGTGTGTGCGTGGGTTTGTCTGAGTGTGTGTGTGTTTGTCTGAGTGTGTGTGTGTGTGTCTGAGTGGGTGTGTGTGTGTTTTTCTGAACAAGTCTTGCACTCTCAGGTTACTGTTGATCCTTGAGTGCACTGTGTGAAATGACATGTTTGATAGTTTTTCCCCAATAACTGGTGGAAGCAGAAAAGCTAGTAGAATATGCTGTCAACTATTAACCAAAAAACAGATATTTATGCCATGATATGGTATCATTGGTTATGGTAACAGGTATTATATTACAGGTATACAGTAACCATGTGCTTGCAATACAGAGATAGTGGCAGGGGCTGAGAAGCCATAAAAACAATCATAATGTTTGTATATACTGTAGTTTTTACAGCTCCAATGTGGTGTTCAGAGTCAATGTAGGGATTTGTGTAAGGAGTCAACATTATATTGTTCATAGCTGACCTTTATTTACATTTTTTTTTTTTTTTAGATGATGTTATGGATGAGGAAATCTTACACGTCCTTGCTAAGTCATAGTAATTCAGTGCTGAATGGAAGAAAAGACTATAATTCTACAACTTATATGTATGCTTATATGCCACTATTGACCTTTCTCTTACTCAATCCTTTTTTTTATCTTTCACTTCTGTAAAGATTTGATTTCATTAACTTTCCCTTATTCAAGGATCTCAACATTTGTTTCTTCCCTTTTTGGATCTCATTACTTACCTCTCGGTCACTCAACGTTCTCATTATTTATCTTTCCCTCACTAAAGAATTTTATTTTCCTTTCCCATAATTAAGGATCTCAGTATTTACCATGCCACTCTCCTTGATCTCCTTTCATACACAATACAGTATCAAAATTAATTATAACAGGAAAAGTTCAGCACAATGCACTGCAATATAACAATGCAGGGAAACTGAATGAAATTTATAATTATAGATTGTTCATCTGTCTGTTAATATTTTGTGAAGGAGAGGAGAGATCTTTGATTTATAACTTTGAGACTTGTAATTTTTAATACACTTTAAACAACTGTGTTACTCAAGGTCTTATGGTTAACAATTCACTAGTAATAGAATTTAGCATTAAAGCCAGGAATCAAATGCTGGATTAGACTCCCAGTTCCTCGTCAACACATTCTGTATGATTGGTAATGATACCGACTCCCTGATAATGTGTGAGGGAAAAAACTCTCTTGCACCAATATGGCTTATACCGTCAAAATAAGAAGAGAAAAATGCATGATTTTGAAGAGTTGGTGGGTCACCTCAGAGGATCTTCATGAGAAAAAATAAATTCAAGCTTCTTGTAAGGTTATATATTTATGAGAAATATATGTGAAAAATCATTAAGCAGTGATGGTAAAATGTATGAATAACAAGATCGTTGAGGTGAGGGTATGTATAAATGGCTGTATGTAGTGTTTTCAGGATTCACTGATAATGTGGCATATACTAAAAATAACTTTTAAAAAAGAAAACAGTTATTCGCTTAACAAATATGTACTTTTGTCTTTACTTTGTATTTGAATTCATTATCATTTAAAAATTTGTATAAAATCATCATATATGTTGTCTAAAAACTTGAACATCTATAAAACAATACCTTTGTAGTTCAAATTGGGTACATCAGTAAAACAAAAAATAAAGTCATCATTTCCCAGTTCCATCCTACCTGCAAGTCTTATTGCATGAAAAGTGTCCAGATATTCTTTAAAGATCATACTCTCAACAAAAGACAATAACACTCAAGATAAGCTGAAGGATTTTAAAGGGAATTTGAAAAAAATCCAGATTTCAATTATGAATATCAGTTTGCTTGCTTTTTTCAATAGCCTAATAGCATTGAATGGATGTTATTCTACATGAACATCAAATACAGGTTTCTCATTCCTAAGACTGACGTCTGTTTTTAAAGCACTAACTAGCCAACTTTAGCCTTCATAAAAGGAGTATGTGGCTCTGTGGTTATTTTTATTTGATTAATGCAAGTGAATTTTGTAACGCATTTTTTTATTTTCACGATCTTGTGTTATTCTTAACAATATACTTAATTTCTTTTATTTTTCTGAATATTGGAAAACTGACACCTTCCAACCCTTTATAAAACAGCCATTTTTTTTATTTTCCTGGAATCAACCAGAAATGTGTGGACTTCCTCTTAAATATCATAAAATGTGTAATATGTCACATCTAACTTTCAAAAGTAAAAGATTCTCTTGATATAAAAAGGGACAAATTCTTTACTTTTTAAAAATTTCCATAAGACTTACTTTTTTGCTTGAGAAAATGGTACTAATTTCTCTTGAATATCCACTTAAAATAGATATTCGCTATTTTCAAAACATATAATGATTTCACTACATCATTATTCTACTTTTTTTTAAGATTCTGAATTTGCTAAATAATTTGGAAAAAAGAAATTGTTCAAGAACAGAAAAATTTACTTTCTTAAATAGAAGTAATATGAGTAAAAAAAAAAGGAAAAGAAGAAAAAGAAAATAAAAATAAACTTAATATGGATATAAAGTCAAGTAGAAATGAGAATCAGTTTATTTATAAATTATTTAATTCATTTACAATAATTTACAACCATACACACTGTTAATGAGATTGGTTTCTGAGCATTTTACACAATTATTTCTATTTTTTATCTTTTTATACATTCTTACACAAGATATTTTTTTTTATTTTTTTTATATATATATAATTCCTTTTCATAGAAAGGTACTGACAACTTGGGATTCCGTTTGGTCTAACATCAGGTGGGTTTATTTATTTAAAAACACATCCCACAAAATATGCAAATTAGTAGTGAAGAAATACCTGAAGACTCTCCAAATTACCTGAAAACATCGACACGTCTCTCTCGCTCGCTTGCCTTCCCTCGGTCGTCGGCAGCTGAGACGCGAAACATACGTACAGACTTGTGTGCACAAAACGCTTCCGAAAACCGAGGGACACTTACTTTTTTTTTTTTTTCTTTTTTTTTTATCCCCCCTCCCCATTACAGTACGAGAGTAAGGGTGTGGAGGGGGGGTTACCCAGTACTGCTTGCGGGTATTATCTATTCATTCAATTATTCTTTTCTTTGAATAATCCTTTTTTTTTTCCCTTTTTTAAGAACATTTTTTTTTACGTTTTTTTTTGTATTTTTTTTAGCATTTTTTTTTATATATATATTTTTTAAATCAATGATTGTAATAGATACATGTCAAAATTACTCAACAACATGAATTGTACATTACAAGCATAATAATTATTATAAGATCACTGATTTCTACTGATGCAGTCTATAATTATCAAAAAACCTTCATATAGACTACTAAAAAAATTGGTTTTGTTGTCCTTTTTTCTTCCCTGGCCTCCATTACCACAACATAAAAGTAAAAATAACATTAAAAAAAAAAGGCAAAAAAGATGAGAGAAAAATAACAATAATGAAAAAAATATAGGTCATGACTCGGAAACGCACGTCAATGGTGTCTAGCTCCTCTGCTGTAACACATTACAGCGGCAAAACACACGCTTGGAACTAGACAGCGCGAAGGAACAGGGATTGATTGAACTCTTTTTCAGTACGTGAACAGCCATTTTGAGCTTCTTTTATACGCAGGTTATATAAGCAGTCAAGCTACATTTCCCGATCATTTTCTTTTATTTTTGAATTTACGGAGAGAAAAAGAAAAGAAAAAGAA